GAAGTATATGGTATGGACTATCACTGATCTGATCCTTTCTAACAGTAGAAGTACAAGCTGCATGTATGGGATCTCTGTAGATTTTGTAACAGAGATCCATATTTCAGATCCAAGTTCTACAGTGAAAATTGAAGAGAAAAATGAGCGTCCATGTGCTGCCCATAAAAAGAAAGCACAAAAAGCTGCTGGTATATCTGAAATCTGCATATGGAGAGAATTGCACATGGGCCATTGTTTTACATTCAAAAAGTGTTGAATTAAAAAAAAAAGCACAGGAGTTTAAATAAACACAGTCAAATGAGTCAGCATGAAGATGTAAAATCATCACAGAAGGCAGAGTTTGTTTTTATATGGGGATTATTGGAAACGTTAGGGACGCATGGTAACAATTTCTGGCCCATGTGTTTTGAAATATCATAACTGATGTCAATAAACACATTAAAATTCAACTTCAAAGAGTATTGTGGATGTTTGGAGTGTCACGAAGACATTGCAGAATGGGGCTTTAGATTGAAACAAGCATGGGAGCAATCAAACACGTCTCCTAAGTGAGGAAAGAAATCTTGTAGAGTTGTTAGCACTAAGCATCTGTGATTGTGATTATTGCTTCTCATTGGCTAAGAACTGTTCACTCTCAAACACTTTTGTTATACTCTTTTGCTTGCCCTGTACCACAACCCACCTGTTACACTTTGTCCTTTAGACTAATTTCTTTGGAGCCAGGACTGCCATTTACTATACGTTCCTATAGTTCCCAGTGCAGTGGGGCTTCAGCCAGGGTTAGCTTCCAGGCACTACCTCTGTTTCAGTGCTAAACAGTAAATTAATTTCAGACCTTTAATAAGAACAATTGGTTGCACATATTAAGTGCTGTTCTTCTGTGCTGAAGAATCGACTTCCTGCAGATGATTCCAGACTCACCATGTGATGGGACGTGTGCTGGGAACCATCTGGCTGTGCTTTCAAGGTACATGGAAGTTGCTGGTGATTGACTTCCCTCTTCTAGTGTCAACAGTAGTATTTCGTTGCTTCACCTCTGCTCCCCTCCCTCATCTAATTCCCAATGGTCGAGACACCCTGTCTTCCACAGACATTCAGGTCTGTACATTCATCTCCCTGAAACACTCGCATTGGATGCCTAAGGACACACTAAACAAATCTACATGCTGCTGACAGAGACACTTGCTGCCTAAAATGCTTGTTTGCACCAGGGGACAGGACCAGAACCTTAATGTTTCAGCTGCAAAAACCACAGGCTTCTAACAGTCAACCTTTGCTGGCAGTAATAATAGCAACTAAAGAGCAATAATATTGCATACAAAGTCAGTACATTGCAACCTATGTCCTCTCTCTCCACCTTAAGGTACATGTCCATCATTGTATGTGTGCCACTTGCTCTAAATTTTTCATTCTCTGTGTCTTTTATGTTCCCCCTTTTTTTAACTTATTGAAGGTTACTGATGTCTGAAAACCGTCTCTTGAATTACAATTTAAACATCAGCTATTAATGTCTTTCCATATGTGAAAGAGATGCTGTCAAAGCATCTCTGATACCTGGTAGCAGCATGTATTCCACCATCATGGTATGTTATCTTTGTGTCTATAGTTACATCCATCTAAAGATATATTTATACAGGATTGGTGCTGCAGGAGTCTGCAGTGATTAAGAAGGAAGTCCCGTCAAGAAAAGGAAAGGTACAGGACTGTGTTTTCTTTGAAGCTTTGCTATAGTCTAAAAGTTACAGCTTAATCCGCTTTGAAAGCTGTATCAATCATCCTGTCGTGTGACACACCATCACAGATGTGAAGCATAAAAACAAGCTTCCCTGACCAGCAGACCCAGCATCCATTCTCCCCATCCATAAAAGCAAACATGGAAACTATAATTCAAAAAGATAATAGACGTTTTAGAGGGAATTCATGAGAAGAGACAGAGAGAAAGGAGGAGAAAGAGACACCCTGACACATTGGCACTGATGTCTTGCCTGACAAAGCTCAGTTGTTGTTTGGAAGAGAAATTAACACCAGTTCATCAAGAAGCTTGTCAAATGTATGATGGATACGTCACCTCGTGCTTGGAGCAATGTGTTTGAGATTTTGTAAGCACTCTATTAGCCACTGAAATGTGATTGCTGTAGAAACTTTGGGGAAGCAGTAGAGTTAGAATGGGTTTGGATTTGTCCCAATCCTCTTTCAGTGAAGTAATGGACTGAAATCTGGACTTGGGTGAAGTTAATGTGAGTTTTGCCTTGGACCTCAGTTGGGACTAGAACACCTTTAAGAATAGTGCCCATTCATTTCTAAGATCCAGTGTCTATAGGACATCATTCACTCGTTTTGGCACTTTTACATTGTGTGTCTGCAGAAATTTTGCAGAGTGCAAATACTACAATATTTCTAAAGTATCTCTTGGGTAAAGGTTCATTTCCTGTCCTGATTAGAAGTGACCAAAAGATTTTATCATGGAGTTAGTCTTCAGTGATTTATGTAGAAGATGGGCAGTCTTTCCCCATTTCCTGGTAGACCATAATTTCCCCCACAAAGGGCTGTAGTTGGCAAGCTTCAAAGGCCAATATGGTTCTGCCAAGCCAGAGTGAACCATATGTCCAACTAATATTAGAAACCTTTGTTGCCCCATGTTGTACTTCTTCTCCAGGTAGAGTTCTTCTGTTCCCAATACTTCTAGTCAATGTGACTGTCAAATTCACACATTACTACAGAGATTGAAGTTAAAGTTAGTTCACGTGAAACCTTGTTAGGGTGATTTACAATGTACAGCCAATATGAGGGACGAGAGGGGCGTACCAGCATCTCAGTATAACTACTGTTTTATAATTGCAGTCAAAATTCCCTTGTTTTAATAATAAACATCATGTTCATGACTGAATACCTCACTGTAAACTGCATGCAGAACACGCTGAACTAAATGGGGCTTCCAGTGCGATGAATATAACAACCTCTTAAATGATTAGGACACCTGTTGACATTAATAGAAAAGTGCACACAGAAATAAGTGTGCCACACACTGAAATATATGTACACAAATATTAAAAGGATTAGAGAAGTTGCTAAAATGGATAGAGCAGCATTTAGCATGAACATGTGTGGAATCCAGGCTGAATGGGAAAAACATACCTGGAGCTGATTGTGTATTAGATGGCCTTTTCTTTCTGGTTGTTCAACTGGGATGGAAAAATCCCCACACAAACAGGCTGTTGACTTACTTTAAAAATCCTCTATTTAATACATATCTCTGCTTCAACTCATAACCCTCTTTAATTCATTGGCACCTTGGCAAATTCTATTAAATTTAATGGATGCCACCATCACTTTGAATCTGCTCTGGATTTAGAACCACGCAGAGAACCTCTTAGTTATTTGGTCATTTTTTTTTCAAAGGAAATTTTCCTTGAAGTTAGTATTGACTTGTCAGGCCTGGATTCAGAGGTATATTCTGGAGACCTTCCCTAGGAAATCTCTTGGATCAAAAATATAGCATCAAGAAAAAAGAAGAAAAAAAGGGAAAATAGAAGTAAAACTTCAATCAGATATTTGAAGCCTGGGGATTTTAAATGGTTCAGACTCCCAAAGAGATGTCTCCCATATAATGCACTGAATGGAAGGGTGGGATGGGAAGGGGGAAGCCTGTCTGTAGACAGATTACCAGTCCATGGCGTGGTAGGGAGTCAATGAGGAAAAACTCCTTATGCAACAAATATCATTTAAAGCAAGTCAGTGTCCTGGAAACAGCAGAAATGATCTTTTTATTATTGCTATTATTTTCACCTCCATACTTTCACTATGAAGGCAGGGCTTTGAAAATAAGTAAGCAGGACCAAAAAGAGAAGTGGAATGTCATAACCAATGCCAAATGTAACCCTCGTCTGTTAAATATAATTCACTTAAGGAGTTCTGTGTGTGGGGCTGAAAAGGATTAAGTGAAAGGTTCTGCTTGTTGCAGGCACTATTCACTTACAAGGAAGTGAAATTGTTCCCATCTTCAACAGCTGTTGGCAGCATTTGCAGACTCTTAGTTAAAGCTGTGGATACATGGGAGAGATTTAATTATATTCAAGCATGCTCTTTGCAAACAGATCTAAGAGTGATCTTTTAATAGCCAATAGTCCAAAAATGAGTCCGTGTGGAGTTTAGGGGAAAAACAGTAAAATGTGTATTCATAGCTGCACACTTCCTCCAATCTTGCAAACCAAGAATAATGCAGGTTGGGAGGCAGGGGGGAACCATTGCACATTACTTGTCCGCAAAGCACCGTGCACATTTGTAACATGTTATGATTTCTTTGTATTCAGCATTGCCAGGAGATCCCAACCAGGATCAGGGGCCCTGTTGCACTGGTTGCTGTACAGACAGTTCCTGTCTGGAAGAGTTTGCAGTCTGAACAGACAAGACCAATAAAGGAAGGATTAGTGTCTTCATCTTTAGGCAGGGAAGGGCAATCCTGAGAGACTGGGACTGAAATTAATGATTGATTATTTTAGTTATGAGTCATATTAAGGAACAAAAATATGTTGCTGCTATGGTGGATTTTCCATCTCTTAATGTCTTCAACTTGACCCTGACTTCTTGTTCTGGAATACATGCTTTTGGACTGGGTAAAATGCAATGGCCCATGATATAGAGGTCAGATTTGTTGATTGACTGGCTTCAAATTCTGTGAGTCTATGTAGTGGTGTGTCTAGGGTCAGCAATCAAGATATTGCTGCCCTGGCTTAGCCAATGCACCAGCAAAGTCCATTATGCCTTCACTGGGCCATTATGAGGTCTTTGAGGGCAGACGTGTTAGAAAGAGCAAACTGCACATTCCTTGAACAACTGCCTTGGCACTTGTCAGTCACATAACAGCCTTATAAGCAACCTGGGGAAACGAAAGGACACTGCCATATATGACATCAACAATCTAGAACATTAAGGATCAAATATTCTGCTTACATTAGACCTCACAAACACAGCTTTCAGGTGAGCAGCAAATTGTTCCAAGAATGTTTGACCCTAAAGTTTTAGATATCCCAGCTGTGATCGTTGACAATGGATCTGGGTTGTGCAAGGCTGGTATTGCAGGGGACAGTGCTCCAAGGTCAGTTATTACAGCCATTGTTGGCCGCTCAAAAGCCAAAGCTACAATGCTAGGAGCTGGACAGAAGGAATATTACATTGGCGAAGAAGCCCAATCCAAAAGGGGCGTCTTAAGCTTGAATTATCCAATTGACCATGGCATAGTGACGTCCTGGGATGACATGGAAAGGATCTGGAGACACGTCTATGAGTGTGAGCTGAGAATCAAAGCCAACGAAAGGCCAGTGATGTTGACGGAAGCCCCGCTAAACCCTCTACGGAACCGGGAAAAAATGACGGAGATCATGTTTGAAGGTTTCAAGGTGCCTGCGATGTATGTTGCAGTCCAGGCAACACTAGCACTCTATGCATCAGCACGTACCACAGGGATAGTAATGGACAGCGGAGATGGCGTCACCCACACTGTGCCCATTTATGAAGGCTACTGCTTACCCCATGCTGTTTCAAGGCTGGATATTGCAGGCAGGGATATCACTGAGTACTTTATGAGGCTCCTTCTGGAAAGTGGGCATTCCTTTGTGAGCACAGCTGAGAGGGAAATTGTGAAAGACATCAAGGAGAAGTTGTGCTACATAGCATTAGATCCAGTTCAAGAAATGAAAGCCAAGGCAGAAGAAATCATGAAAGAGTATAAACTGCCTGACGGGCATATCATTAAGATAGGCAGTCAGCTCTTCCGTGCCCCAGAGACCCTTTTCATGCCTGCTAACATTGGTATCGAAGCCCCTGGGGTGCACAAAATGATTTTCAACAGCGTCATGAAATGCGACATTGATGTTCGCAGGAACCTCTATGGAAATGTGCTGCTGTCTGGTGGCTCCACCCTCTTCCCTGGCCTTGACGAGCGCATCCTGAAGGAGATGCAGCTGCAGGTCCCTCCTGGGATGTCCGTAAGGATCATCGCACCTCCTGAAAGGAAATACTGCGTGTGGATTGGGGCTTCCATCCTGACATGCCTGACATCTTTCAAACAAATGTGGGTTACTGTCAGTGATTACCAAGATTTTGGAGCAGGAGTAGTGCACAGGAAATGCTTTTAAAGGGAATGTCCCACTGAACAAATGTCTTGCTGGAACAAGTGATGATAAAGAAATCTAATGAGATATGAGCCAGAAGATGCAACAGCTGTTCATGTATTTATTGGCTGCCCAAACCTCAAAGAAAATAAAACATTAGAAACACACCAGCTTGTTTACAGTTGGTCTTAGACATCTTATTTTCTTCTTGCCCTCCATGGGACACAATATCCTATTATCCCCTTTAATTTTTACATAGTGTCATGCCTTCCAACCCTCATTCCCATATATCATCTTTTCGCTGGAAGAGGATTGGATGAGTTTCCCTGCAGACATCCATGCTGTTCCTCCGCTGGGTGGGGTTCAATGAGAACTATTGTTTCTCACTGCTGGCTGAATACTTTGCCCTTCCCTCAAATATTCTTTCTTCTCTCAGGAGGAATTAAAAAAAAAAAAGTCAAAACCAGAATTGGGAATAAGGGGGCCTTAACCAGCCCCCCCTCCTCATATAGCAATGGAGCAGGGTGTTGCCGGATGGTTGGGGGCAGCAGGGATAGCATAGGTTTGGTTATCTTCAATACTAGGATCCCGTTCATTTGAAGCATGCTCTAGGAATGCAACGGAGCTGGTAATGGACATCCTGCTTTCTCCCTGTTTGCTGTCTCAGTATCTGATTTTACACGTTGCAACTTTCAGAAATGTTGAGTCCTGTAGCTGGTGCAGAATTAAGAAAACTTACCCTTTTCCTGAGCTGCCTCCCATCCTTGGGGGCCAGTTGTTGTAAAGCACTGCAAAACTGCATCATCCTTCTGCTTCAGATCCCTTCTTATCTTTCTCCTTGGCCACAATAGCCACAAAAAGTAACCATTTGGCTACTATGCCAAAACAGCAGCCTATTGTGCTACTATTGTTGTCTCAGTGTTTCCTTGCAGCCCTTCATCTGTTGTCTCCTGTGCTGATCTTTGAGTGTAAGGTCTTTGGAGCAGGGACCTTCCTTCCCTTCTGTGTCCGTACAGTGTCTATCTAGCACAAGCTGGTCCTGCTCCATGACTAAGGCTCATGGTGTTACTGTAATGCAAATAATAGTTATGCCAGTTAGAATTCCAGGTTTTCTACAAAGGAAAGGGTATTATTTTTCCCCTTGTCATGGTTCATCATAATACTCATAAACTCTGTCATATCAGACAGTTTTTGACTTCCTGGATTTAAAGGTTGGACCCCTACAGCTGTGCTATTGCCTTGCTGGTATATGGACATGTAGAGCATTCGCCCTCAACACAGAAGGAGGTGATGAAATCCTGTCCTCCCTCAGCAGCGTGTTGCTCTGAGCTGTGAGTCCAACAATGCTCTGAACGCATCTTCCAAATGAAGGCGCCTCCATGCTCTGTTCTGGGCACAAATTTCACTGCATCAACTGCAAGAGGAAAAATGTTCATGAAAGAAAGATGCTTGCACTTCCCTGGACATGCTTAGCCAATGAATACATCCATATCAGAAGTTAAAGAGGATCCTTACAAACTGTAAGCTCACAGGCATCCCTAGGGAAGGCAAAATGATGAACTGCTTTCTGCCAGGCCCTTAGCTCACCAGCTGTCTAAGGGGTGAGTGAAGCAGCACTGGAGTGAAATGTAACTGCCAGGAGACACAGAAGTGCTGGTTGACTGGGATCAGGGTTAAATAAAGGAGAAGGAATTGCACTCAGTATAAATTGAACAGAAGACCCTAAATTCTCTCAACCATTCAAACCGCTCAGTGCTTCATGAAACCAGCTGGGATCCTGCTTTATGAATCAATGCACTTCAGATTCATCAGTGATCCTAGCTCCTTCTGAAGCTTTTATCATGTATTAACTTAATGATCTCCTGAAAGAAAGCGAGCAAATGAATTATTACAGTGAAGGCTTGTACAAATCTACCTCTGTCATAATGGTCACCGCACAGTCATGATCTACCTCATCCATTGTTAAGTGTTGAAGAAGTCAGCACTGGAAATGCTGAGCTGGTCACCACATAAGTGGAGATTAACTATCCTGAATGCCAGCCAAAAATAGGAGTTGTGTTTCTAGATACTGGAGACTGTTTGGGCCTGTTGTATTGTGAAGAAATCTGTTTGGGAGGTATGTCCTCAAAGCACAAGGAGCAACCTTTTTCAGAGAGCAGTTAAGTTTTCTGGGGGAAGGCTGGAAGAATGTTTAATGTCAAGGCATTAGATATTCCAGCTGTAATTTTTGACAATGGGTCAGGCCTGTGTAAGGCTGGTCTATCAGGAGAGATTGGCCCAAGACACATCATTCCTTCTATTACAGGCCACCCCAAAGCCAAAGCGTCTGTGTTAGGAGCCGATCAGAAGGAACACTATGTGGGAGAAGAGGCCCGGGAAAAGAAGGATGTGCTGTCTCTGAAGTACCCCATTGAACGTGGAATAATTACTTCGTGGGATAAAGTAGAGAAGCTCTGGAAACATGTTTATGACCACAAACTAAGCATAAAAGCCTTCGAGAGGCCAGTGCTCATGACTGAGATCCCTATGAATCCAGCGGAGAACCGAGAAAAACTGACCCAGCTGATGTTTGAACGGTTTAGGGTGCCTGCTTTCTATTTGTCTGTTCAATCCATATTGTCTCTGTATGCCTCGGCACGTGTCACTGGAATGGTGATTGACAGTGGATATGGCGTTACGCACACAGTACCAGTCTATGAAGGCTACTGTTTGCCCCATGCTGTCTCCATGCTAGACATTGCTGGCAAGGATATCACAGAGTACTTTACAAAGCTGCTTCTGAAAACAGAGCCATGGTTGGCAAAACTCCCTGAGAAGAGCATTGTAGAAGACATCAAGGAGAAGTTATGCTATGTGGCTCCAGAGCCACACCAAGAACGAGTTAGGAGGCCAGAGGAGATCAGAAAGGAATATAAGCTTCCTGATGGGGCTGAAGTCAGGATTGGCAGTGCACTCTTCCAAGCACCAGAGATCCTCTTCGAGCCAAACCATGTTGGCAACGCTGGGCCAGGCCTTCTGAAAATGATTTCCCAAAGTGTCACAAAATGTGACTCCAGCGTTCGCAGTGCTCTGTATGGGAACATGGTGCTGTCTGGTGGTTCATCCCTCTTTCCTGGACTAGATGAGCGGATTTTTAAAGAACTAGAATATCAGGTTCCCAAAGGAGTCCCTATAAAGATTATAGCACCCACAGAGAGATGGTTTTCTTCATGGATTGGGGCTTCTATAATCACTTCCTTGAGCAGCTTCAAGCAAATGTGGGTCACTGCGGCTGATTACAAGGAATTTGGACCAAATGTTGTCCAAAGAAGATGCTTTTAAGGGGAACTTAGGTAATCCTAGGCATTGTCTGCTCAGGACAGAGTTAGTTCTTGCCTTTGCAATTAAAATGAATCAACTTTAAGTTGTGCTTTATTTTTCTGAGTTTCAGCGTTCACCTCCTTTGACAGGAGGCTCTTTCTAATGCTGTATATCCTATCAAGGAGTCATTAAAATTAGAGATGGAAAAGCCCTCTTATTTGTTGCATTGTAGCCAATACAGACCATTTCCCTTTAGTATTTTAAAACATTATGATCAGACATTATAATCAGTGATACAAATGAGGGACTTGCTAAAAACAGTCCTAGTAATATTCAGCTGACAGAACTTAAGGGTGAGACTCTATGAACAGGCCGCTGAGACATGGAGATATTAATTGACTTGCCCAAAGCTAGGCAAAATGTGTGGAAGAGCCAAGACTTGAGACTAGATATTCTGGATCCACCATCTACTGCCTTATCCCCATGGCCTTCCCTCCTCTGTGCATGGACATGTATATAAAACCTTCATAAATAGTAGGGAAAAATGAGAGGCAGCAATGGGGAGAGGAGTTTTAGACTCCACAGTGGCTCCTTCAAGGGAATCTTTCTAGCCAAATACAGGATTTTAGCACCAGTCTACATCACTCCAGCACTTCCATCCTAGGATCTCACCCCTATTTTCGCTATGTATGTTATTAGTGCACTTGATCCAAAGCCTCTGGAAATGAATGGTAGTCTTTCTATTAGGGCCTTTGGATCAGGTCCTGCGTCTTCTATTCTCCTCTACAGGGTATGTCCAGAATATATAGCAGGTAAAAAAAAAAACCGAAAGAAAAAAAGAGGGAAGTGAACAAGGACTGTATTTAAATGGTGAACATGTACAATCCAAAACTTGCCCCAGAATCAACCTGTGTCCTGAAATATTAGGATGTCTCTTGATGGTGATTGCAGAACCTCCAAGCTTCTTGGAAAGTCATTTCTGATAAACCCAAAGATTTAAAGATCCAAATGTTCAAATGCATGTTATAACCTTGTAGTAAACAGGATAGGCTGAAAGTCCTGCTTTCAGTCAACTGCAAATGCTGTATCTTTGCTGAGGTCAGGGAAAGATGCATGATATATATCATTACCAGTCCCCAGCACCATTCTTCTCCCTTTGGAGCTGGCTAGGCTGATGGAGCACAGTACCAGAGCTTAAGTACTGCACAGCCCTTATGTTCATTTTCTGCTCCCTAAAACATGACCAGATGTAAAACCTTCCCAAGACACATTCCCTTACCTTCCTTGAGGCGAACTGTCCACCTACCCTGACCCTCTCCTTGGCCCTGTGGCTACAGCCTAAGCCCTGGGAAAGCTTTGTGCTTTTGTTGCTATATTTAAAATCTGGTAAGCCAAAATTATTTTGCTGCTCAAGGTAATTCTCCACAGGAACCACTTGTATTTACATGTATACACATTTGAACTATTAACAGGTCCCACTTTTGTCCATTAGAGAAGCGCCAGCTGAGATCATGGCGCTGTTGTGCCTGGCATGCTGCAAACACATTGTAAGAAACAGTCACTGCCCTATGAATCCAGTGGGGGAAAAAAAAAACCCCAAAATTAGGCGACTGCGGCATTGATGCCTACACAGTTAGATGGATGGCAAATTGGCTCGATGGTCACACCCATAGTGGTGGTGGATGGGTCATTTTTGACCTGGAGGAATGTGGGCAGTGGTGTTCCCCAGGGCTCGGTCCTCGGGCCTACACTGTTCAACATCTTCATCAGTGACTTGGAGGTGGGCGTGGAAAGCACGCTGTCCAAATTCACTGATGACACAAAGATGTGGGGAGAAGTGGGCACACTGGAGGGGTGGGACAGAATCCAATTAGATCTGGACAGGTTGCAGAGGTGGACGGATGAGAATAGGATGGGATTCAACACAGACAAGTGCAAGATGCTGCATCTAGGGAGAAGGAGCCTGCAACACGCCTATAGGCTGGGGAACACCCTCCTCAACAACACAGTGACTGAAAGGGATCTTGGAGTCATTGTTGACTCCAAGGTGAACATGAGCCGCCAATGCAAGAAAGCGGTTAGTTAGTCTGACCGCACCTTGTCGTGCATCTACAGATGCATCACGAGCAGGTCCAGGGAGGTGATCCTTCCCCTCTATGTGGCCTTGGTCAGGCCACAGTTGGAGTACTGTGTCCAGTTCTGGGCGCCGCACTTGAAGAGGAATGTGGCTAACCTTGAGAGGGTCCAGAGGAGGGCCACTCGCATGGTCAGGGGCAGCAGGCCAGCCCCTACAAAGATAGACTAAAGGGCCTGAATCTAATCAGCCTCTACAAGAGGAGACTGAGAGGGGATCTGGTGGCTGTCTATAAACTCACCAGGGGGGACTAGTGGAAAATAGGTGAGGCTCTGTTCCCCCAGGCACCAGCTGAGATAACAAGGAATAACAGCCACAAATTGATTGAGAGCAGGTTCAGGCTTGATATCAGGAGGCATTACTTTGCAGTTGGGGCTGCCAGGCTCTGGAACGGGCTCCCAAGGGAGGTGGTGCTCTCCCCTACCTTGGGGGGTCTTCAAGAGGAGGTTGGATAGATATCTGGCTGGGGTATTATGATCCCAGCACTCGTTCCTGCCCAGGGCAGGGGGTCAGACTTGATGATCTGTTCAGGTCCCTTCCGACCCTAGAAACTATGAAAGCTTATAACCTACATCAGACAGCGCTGGGTGACCTTTGAAAGGAATGTGACTGCTGCTCCATTTCCAGATATGAAAATTATGAAAATATGAAATTATTTAAAAAACCCTGATATTTTGCACTTGCAAGGGACATCTCATCTAAAGATCTCAAACATCACACTTCATGTGACCTTTCACAATTTCCCCTCTGCAAAGCGTGCATTCCTTCCATCGTACTATAACCCAGCCGAGCTTTGAGCAACTGAATTTTAAAATGAGTTAATGTCAGAAGACACACAAAAGTATTTTGATATCATATTTTTACATCATAGCACCCTTTTCTGATGTTACCCTTATGACATCAAAAAATCAATCCATGATAAAAATGTATACTGATTTCTATAAGCCTGCTATGGACAATTAAATAACATTATAAATGCCTCAGATCTAATTCTGCCTTCATTTTGGTAGTCTTTCTATTAGGGCCTTTAGATCAGGTCCTGTATCTTCTATTCTCCTCTACAGGGTATGTCCAGAATATATAGCAGGTATATAAATGTGTCATGCCTGCTATGGACAATTAAATAACATTATAAATGCCTCAGATCTATTTGCCTTCATTTTAAAAGACATTTATAACAGAAGATTTAGACCTGAACTCTTACAACCTCAGATCAGCAAAGAACCAAAAGGAGAGTTTGTCAGACATCTAGGTTGACCAGCTAATATCTACTCAGGCCCTCAAAGATCCTGGACCTTCTTGCTTATCAAAAAAATTGCAAACTAGAAGCCTTCTAAATTTTATTTAATTGCTTACGGTAAAGAAAATAAGCTAAACCACCAGGAATATTAACTTAGTTTAATAATATTAAACTAAATTAAGAGTGGGATGAATTAAGAGATCAATCTTAATACTGGTTTGGATTCAAATCATCAATGAGTTAACCCACTACAGTAATGCTAAAATGGATTCATCCTGATATACCCTAAGTAAGATTTTGAGGTGGGTGTCTATTTGGTTTTAAATCACAAGTAAAAAGTCTCTCAAACCAGTCATATAGAACTGATTAAATAACTCAGCACTGAAAACCAAGTCATTTATGTATAGACCACAACCTCAGAGATAATGATCAAGCCTCCATTTCAGATTCTTGTTCCTATAGAGCGGCTCACCCTTCCTGTCCCAGCAGAAATACTGTAATACAAACTTCTGGTACTTTCATATCCCTTAGGACACAGAGCCCACAATGCAACACAGAATGCAGAACATGTGCAAGCGAGTAATGTCATGAGGCAATATTTACTCTGTTTACAATATCTGCAGTATACGGCTTTTTACCTGGAGAGCTTTCTTTCAGGCACTTTCTTGTGAGGCTTTTGCAGGTGTTCACACAAGTGAGTATGCTTTTGTTCCCACACTATAAAAGGTGAAAAAGAAAAGACTAACTGGTTCCACTGGCTAATCAAATGACAGCAAAATTACAACAAAGATACTCTAGATACTAGGGGGCTGCATGTGTTTCAGCTCCCAGACCCTTGTGACTGGTGGTTGAATAGAAGCTGGAATTGCATTTAAGGAACCAGGCAGGAACATGCTGCTGGCACTAGCAGAGGGCTTGTTGCTACTGGGCTTCCTTTGGGTGAAAGGGCTGGCCCAGGTTGGCTGTTGATGTGACTTCTCCTCAAGGCAATTAGTCATAAGGATTCTGCAGTGTCAAGCATAGCACAAGAAGCTTGTCGACCCTAAAATCAAAGTACTTGCCTTTGGTTCTTATGCATCCTTGCTGTTGCTGCTTTAAAGTGTCTCCCTCTGAGGCCTTCAGACAACTGGGCAAGCCTTCCTTAGAATCGCACAATCCAATCTGATAAACTTTGAATTAAGTCATTCTCAGTTAGTGTCTGCTTTAGGGAAAGTCCAATTTAAATGAGGAACGTAAAAAAAAACTACTCTGTATTGTACACACTGCAAAGGCTGCGGGTCTGTAACCCATTTCTAAGCTCTCATGTATGGAAAATTTGGATGTGAGGACCACGGTATCATCTTCTGCAGGAGAAAACATTTTGAAATGATGTTATGTCACCAGTTCATTGAAAACATGACACAAAATCCCATGAAAGTGTTGCTTGCTAGAGTTCTTTTTGTGCACTTGCTCACTCCACATCCATCCATCCATCAGAAAAATTAGAAAATGAGGTTGGAAAATTTATGACTGTTATCACTCTCCCGAGTGAGACAGCACAATAATCCTTCTCCTTAGGAAGTGGGCTGTAAGTCAAAAAGTTTATCTTCTGGAATCATCCTCCTGACAGAGAACAGTTGCTTCAAACCCTTTAACAATGAAACCCTTCAAAAAAATACAATTGTTCAAGTTTATATAAGTCTGTATTCTCTTAGGGGCCATTTCTTTCTCTCCCACGGCATGTAGAAGAATGCATTTAAGTTCCATAGGATTTAAAAAGTTGAGCATCTGTATTTGTTTTCCACCAGTTTCTATGCCTCTCTGAGTCATTTATGGGACTCAGATACATGGAATTAGGCCTTTACCAGGTATTTCCACCATCCAAGAGCTGAAGTGCAGTGAGAACTCATTTTAATTTGATCTCTTCATAAATATCTCCATGAAGGATGAAAAATCCAGTTGGAAAAAAAAAAGCAAATGCAAGCAATATAACTTGTCTCCAGCCTCCGCCTGCATGTAAGAGTCTGAGAGTATTGGTTGTGCCTCTGTTATAAATTATGTGGGAGAGAAGGAGAGTACAGCTTCATTTTTCAGTCTGGAACTGGCGAGGACAGAAGCAGAAGCACCAACTGGAACTGAGGCAAAACTCTTCACACTGTTGAGCTGCAAGGCATATTCCCTCCCAGGCCTTGCAGGAAGAAGATGTAGTCTCAGGACAGCCTTGAGGAGCTGCCAGCTGTAAAGGAATTGAGCTCTTTGTGACTCAAGAATCTAGAATATTTGACATTAGAATATTAGACATTCTGAGCCTGAAGAAATGCGGAGCCGGAGAGAGCGCTGCTCAGAGCCTGCTTCCATCCTGCCAGGGAATGTTTGATCCCAAAGTTTTAGAAAGCCCAGCTGTGATTTTGGACAATGGATCTGGGCTCTGTAAGGCTGGCCTGTCAGGAGAACAGACACCAAGGTCAGTCGTTGCTTCTGTTGTAGGCTATCCCAAATCCAAAGCTATCATGATTGGAGCTGGTCAAAAGGACTATTACGTCGGAAAGGAGGCTCAGTCCAAAAGGGGCATTCTGTCTTTTAAGTACCCAATGGAACATGGCATAGTGACTTCCTGGGATGATATGCAGAAGATCTGGAAGTATGTGTATAAGTATGAACTCCGGATGAAAGCCAGTGAAAGGCCAGTGCTCCTGACAGAGGCCCCGCTGAACACACTGCCTAACCGAGAAAAAATGACCGAGATCATGTTTGAAGGCTTCCGAGTGCCTGCCATGTTCGTGGCTCTGCAAGCGCTGCTGGCTCTTTATGCCTCAGCCCAGACAACTGGATTAGTGCTAGACAGTGGAGATGGTGTTACCCTTACAGTCCCTGTCTACAAAGGCCATTGCTTACTTCATGGTGTTTCCCGGCTGGATTTTGCAGGAAGAGATATTACTAAATACCTTGCTAGGCTCCTCTTGGAGAATGGACACTCATTCACAAGCACAGCTGAGGGGGAAATTGTGAAGGATATCAAGGAGAAGCTGTGCTATGTGGCCATTGAGCCCAGCCAGAAAATGAAGGAGAAACCCAGGAAACTCACACGTGAATATATTCTCCCAGATGGAAATGCTATCCAGGTTGGCAACCAGCTGTTCAGAGCTCCTGAAGCCCTTTTTGTGCCAGCTAATGCTGGTATCTCAGCACCAGGGATTGACAAAATGATTGTTCAGAGTGTTAAGAAATGTGATGGACGTATCCACTCAGATATCTTGGGGAATGTGGTATTGTCTGGTGGATCAACCCTTTTCCATGGTCTAAATGAGAGACTCCTGAAGGAACTGCAGATGCAGATCCCCAGCACCATTCCTGTAAAGATCATAGCCCCCCAAGACAGGATGTTCTCAGTGTGGATTGGTGCTTCTGTCCTCACCAGTTTAAAAACGTTCAAGGACATGTGGGTCACAAGTGAAGACTACAAGGAGATTGGACCAACTGCACTTCAGAGAAAATGCTTCTGAGAAGAATGACCACCGGGAGCGGGGGGGGAAGAGAGTGCCAATCTGAACAGCTGGAGAGCAGCTAATAAATCATTGCAAAAATAATTGATTTGCAGTAAATGATTTTATGGCTTGGTAAAGAAAGATCCCTTGTGCATTTGGATAAAGAAAGAGCCCTTGTTCGCTGCATTTTTGCTATCCAGCATGTTGGTTTTAATTCCAGAAATGTGTTGATCCTCCCTAGCATTGCAAACAGTTTCTCAGACTGTTAAATGCTAGAGAACAAGCCACCTCCATCCTATGCCTCTCAGGGCTGGCTCCCTGCCATTCACCATAAGCTTCCAAAGAGACCTCTAATGAAGAAATAGAGGTCTCTGGGGTATTGTTGACCCTTTGCTGTAGTGCTGGAGACTTCTTGCAGTGGTCCTGGCAAGCTGGGGAGAGCCCAGAAAAAGTGTAGCATCTGAATTTCTTTATTCATGTGAAATGAAAAAGAAGTTCTGGCCATTAAACTGAAGCTCTCAGAGAAAGTGATCCAAGCTTTGGATCTTGTCTTTGCTAATGATTCATCTTGTAACACTGGCTGAGACATTTTCACTGCCTTTTGTATCTCAGTTGACCCACTGATGAAATGTGAATATCACTTCTTACAAGGATGATGTGAGACATAATTGAAATAGATATAGTCATCATCTGGGAATGCTGGGTGAAAGGTGTTTTTTTCTGTTTTGTTCTTCTGACATCCCCTAATACCCTTTTGCAGAATCAGCAGATCTGGACGAGGGCTGAGTATCTGTGCTTTTAGCTGCTTATCTGAAGGAAGTTTAGTAGAACAACTGAGAATTTAACCATTCCTGAATCAGTTGGTTGACATTGCATTCTCCTTCAATGGCGGGCAAGCTCATAAGGAAAAAGTGCCATTCCCCTGATAACATTCTGGGAAGGCTGAGAAACTGGCAAAAGATAGCAAGTACTTGAATTTGTAAATAATTTGGCTTTGTCCGTGTTCAAACAATCATTCTTGTAAATGAGCTTTATACATTCAGGAATGC